GCCCAAATAGACACATATTTCCTTATGGATATTTGATTATATATTCTTCCCTAAGTTGTCCATTACATTTTATTTTGTCTAGATCAAAAACTAATATTATTTTGACTGTATATTTTTCCATTCCTCTTAAGAGAAATGATAGACATAATATAAATTGCTGAATTTCCAACAAGACAAGGTTACCAACAGCGCATCTGGAAAGTGCTTCCCCTTCTTCACCACATTTTATGTTACAGCCTTATGACAAATTGCATTTAATGAACCTGCTTCCTCACAAATCTACACACAAACACCCTATTGAGCCAATTTATTGAAAATAAAAAGAAAACCAAGAAATCACATTCATGTAATTTCTTTTATAGAAATTACATTCACAGTCTTTGCCAAGAAGTTCAAATGGGAGCTGTTTCCACTGATTATTCTTGAGATAGAATTGTCCTGAAGGACACAGTAAAAAAATATATCTGCTGCTTTGAAGATCCTAGTGAGCACAGTGGCCTTCATCACTTGTCAATGGAAGAAGTTTGGAACCACCAGGAGTCTCCCTAGAGCTGGCCACAACTTCAGAAAAGGCACATTGCAGCCCGTCTTGAGTTTGCCAAAAGGAACAAACGAAGGACTCTCAGACCAAGAGAAACAAAGATTCTCTGGTCTGAGGACACAAAGATTGAACTCTTTGGCATGAATCCCAGGAGTCATGTTTGGAGGAAACCAGGCTCATCCCCAGGCCAATGCTATCTCTACACTGAAGCATGCTGGTCGCAGTATCACACAATGGAAATGTTTTGCAAGAGCATTAACTGGCAGACTAGTCATTATAGAGAGGAAGATGAATTAAGTAATGTACAGAGAGATACTGTATGAAAACCTGCCCCAGAATGCTCTTGACCTCAAACCCGTAGCACAGAACCGCCTAGCAAATTTCCTGGAATGGCTCATCTAAAGTTCAGGCTTGGATCTGATTGATCAACTGTGGAGTGATATGGAAATGGCTGCACAGATGTCTCCTATTCCACCTGATGCAGCTTGATAAGAAAAGCAAAGAAGAAGAGGTGAAAAGGCTCATTGGTGTGCTAAGTTTGTGGCATCAATTTCAAAAAGACTTGAGTTTGTAATTGCTGCCAATTACATAAACTGTAAATGTGTTTTCTTGGTTTTCTTTTGTTAACAAATTTGAAAAACATTTTTTAGACATTAATAAACTTTGTCATGATGCTGCTATATTATAAAATGTTTAAGAAGTGAAGCACTGCGAATACTTTCCAGAAGCACAATGTATTAAATCTCTGATCTTAACCCCACTGAACTGAGTTTAGGACAACCAGTGAGCTATGCCAGTTCTAATATGATCTAATATGAAGCAAATACATTTCTCTCTAATACATTTCATGCAATATATACTAATTTCTTAATTTCTCCCTTCTGTTTCTCCTACTGTTTTAACCTCCTTGATTGTTCACCATGGTTCTATCTCCTTACAGGAAAGTCAGATCTTAGATCAAACACTTATTCAGACAGCAGCTCAATTGAAAAGTGACGTATTGCCTTGGCTTGTGACACTGCCACCCACAGACACTTGGCGGTAATTGTTATAACTTCTTTTTGTCCCTCCATTACAACTGATGGAGCGGATCAAATTGCAAATTAATGAAATCAATATTATATCTACGGCATGTGTCCATCGATTTAGCACACTCCCCTCCCCGCCATTATTAACGGCACATCTGAGTTTGCTATCGTGTTACTTTATGAAGATATCGGTGGAGAGAGGAGAGCAGTGATTTATCCCTAAAAGAAAAAGCGGCTCCCCAAGCAGAATACTGATGTAAAAGAGAAAGGGGTTGAAGGGAAGAGGAGACTACAGAGTGAGAACAAACAAGCAAAGCAGTGGTAGAGGAAGGTGTGGAGGACCAAGGAGGGGGCAGATGGAGGACAGAATTTAAATGTAGTAGAGGGAGAAATTTAAGTAAAAAAAAAAAAGTATTGGGATTGAGGCTTGTCAATGAAAAGAGGATTCTACACAGTCTTACTCTGTAAAGGATTAGCTTTGTATACTGGAGAGGTGTTAGACAATCGCTGGATGGACTACGTAACTCGGAGGATTTTAGAATGACTTGGATCCCTCAAAACGAGCTGGAGGGCATCACTGGAGAGAGGAATGTGTGGTACCCATTCAGGACCTACTACCCTTTTCATCCGATCTCAGATAGGTGGAAGGTGATGGATATGTGGGAATGAAAAAATCAAAAGTGACAAAACACTCTTAAAAAATAGTTTTAATTCCAGAATAACCTGGAGTCTCATAAAATATATGTGTTATTATCCTTAAATGAAACTCACCGAAGTTTACGCATTTGCCAATATAGATGCTTACTGATTTTAGTACAACTAAATAAATGGGACTTAGCATGGAGGGTTTCTCCTCTGGTTATCAAAGTTTCTATTGCACTTTAGTGACAATCAATGACAATCACAAATCTACACATTTATTGCTGCATTATGTTGCATCTTTCAATTTATTCTAGACAAAAAAGATCTGACTGCATTATTTGGACAGTTAGACATTCATTTCTTTGAATTTTGTCCAAAGATGGTGGTGAATTTAAGTTGCTCTTCTAATGTTTTGTATTATATTTAAAAATCCCCCTCACCCCCACACCCATTCCTTTTTTTTCATGGAAATGAAGCCATTTTTCATCCAACAATAATTTCTGGCCACCATCCACAGTTACAAACTGCAGGCAAGAAAATTACAGCAATTATGTAGCTGGACCTTTATTTCTTTACTTTTAGTTCTTTCTTTAACAAATGCATAACTTATTTTTTTCAGCTGAAAATACTTACATAAGACTGAAGACTCGCACCTTATATCCTATAGGTAGAACAGAAATGCATTTTGCCCTAAAGGGCAACTATTATTATTATTGCTTCAACAGGGATGTGGAAAATAATGACCTTTAACATTGGCTGTAAGCCTTTTTTTAAATGGAGCAATGAAGTCTAATTATGTGGCTAAATATGACTATAAAATATTAAAAATGGTTTAAAAAATTGCACAAGAGTATAGGCTGAACATATTTACCATGTGTGATCAGACAGGAGTAATTTAGGCATCACGGTTAAGGTGGACCAGCCAACATCCATTTGGAATAGAGCTCAATTACACTAAATATGAAAACTGGCTGAAAACCAAACCTCCATGTTGGACGTCTCTTTGTCTGGAGCCATAATGTTAGACCCTTTACACAACATCAATCTGGAACAGAACATAACATCGAGATTCAATGCTATGTATAATTCTTGAGTGCTCCTCTTTTTTACATATTCAATTCCTTTAATAATTGAAACTGGCAGCTCTTCAGGTTTTCTAAGAATTATTTTTGAACATTCATTCTTTTTAAAACAAGGTTTCACTGCACTTTTATTCATTTCCAATGCAATACTGTAAACAGCTAAAGAACTCTGTTTTTTACACCTCTTCGTTCTAATCTTTGAGGTACTAATGTACAAATATAAATACATGAGTTTACCACAAGTCTATTCTTAAATATTATTCGTCTTTTGTGAATAGTTTTTATCCATCCCTTTCATGAATTTTGGGAATACACTGCACAATCAACAGCAGTGATCAAGTACAACTCTAGAGATAAAAATATAATTTGTACAAAAACATTACAAACAACCCAACAAGCGGTATAATCCTGTTCCAGTAATATAACAATATCCAAGTGATATCAAACTGTGAAGTCAACACTATAAGTGGATGGAACAAAAGTTCAAGTTAGTTTCAACAGGAACCACTGCAGGATATGAAGGACAGGATATTATGGAAAACTAAGTGCTGTTGTAGGCCACAGTTCAGACCAAGTATGTCTCTGCACACCGAAGCAGCCGGAGCTGGGTTGGGGTGTTTTACACCTTAATAAAGAAAAAAGACGCCGTATGGCTGGAGTGACAAAATGTGCAAACAGGAAGAAGTGGGATATAAAAGAGGCGTTTTCAGGCTTTAGATCACTGGTAAAAAAAAGAGTTCTTGCATCACAAGATCAAAGCTGCTGTCTGTCAAACTTCTAAAGGGAGCCGTGTAAAGACCTAACATGTTAGGAGGATGTTTTGATTTGAATTTGAATTACTTCAATTCTCCTCAATCCCGTGGCTGCAGCAGACCATACATCTGAAACCCCACTGCCAGATTTATTCAAACATTTTTTTTTCCCATATCAGCCCTGACAGCACATCAGAATCTTGGCAGGCGACATGACCGGCTTTGATGATACACTGAAAAGTCGTCCTAAAACAATACCTAGGGTTATATGGCAATGTCCATTCCATTTCCTCTGACCTCATGTAGGTTTCCTCTTCACGTGTTCATCCTGTAACCCCATTCTTACCTTTCCGACCCACACATAAACATTTCCAGTAAAGTTTATTGCAGCTTGAAAAAGTTTTTTAACTGGTGCAGAAATTAAACCATTAGAATGAATCCATTTAGAAATGCCTTGTTTTCTTGGTTTCCAAAAAAACAAGCAAACTTTACTTGATGTTTGCAACTTCTAACAAATTCTTCAAATGCTTAAATGAAGTGTTACAAGTAGGGAATATTTCTTTTTTGAAAACTTTCATGCCGTGATTCTGTTAGACAAATAAAATATTCGGTTTGTATATTTTTGAGATTTAACATAGATAAAGACAACACTGAAAGCGTTCTCTCCTGGGTTAAGCAAAATATCTTAAAGACATCCCATGTTGTTGACATTTCTCCGCTCTGATACACTGTATTTTTTTCTTTGTCTAGTTCAGTACACAATCACAAAACAAAAATCATCATGCAGTGGTAAACTGCACAGTGCAATTTACACTGCACTGTGCATTTAAGACATCTGTGAACGTTGGGGGCAGTATTGATAGAGTTACAATGAAGTTGCTGGGGAATCATTGCAAAGAAGGCATTAGCATAACTGAGAGCTTTAGAAATGTACGCAAGAGTGGAAAATACATACTGTAGGGCACACATTCGTATTGGACTTCCAGGTATTTGTAGGTTCCCGGGCAAGGGTCAGGAAACACATCAGGTCCGGCTATCACGGCACACTGGGTCCTGTTGTTGCATCTGCAGAAATCATAGAATCAATTATCAAAAGGTACAAACAGCAATCAATGGGCACAATGCATGACAGTCAAACACTAAATATTACATATGGACTTTCTCAGAAAGAGATTCTCATCTGTGGTGTTTGAAGACGAAGGCTGGACTGGTTGGCTAGCAAAAGTGCTAAATGTCTCACAGGTGTTGAGTCTTTAATGAACACTAGAATATCTTATCCACTCAACATCGAGGTATAAACAAAACATCTACATCCAGGCCACTATTTTCCTGCATATGACTAGGCCCTGGGACAGACACCAGGTGGATTATTTTGTATCTCCAACTCCTCCTGAAAGTAACACTAAGCTTTGCTTTTGCCTGATGTTATGCAATCTCTTGCACTGTGCAATCAAGCTAGAAAGCTTAGCAGTGCTTATAGCTAAGATCTGAAATAGGGTCTGTGATGTGAACATCACAGTGAACATCATAGGAGAGGAAAAATAATCTTGTACCCTCAAAACGTAATGTTACGCTAGCAAATAGGAATGGCGTCATATTTAATCATACCACCTTTCAAATATGGCAAACGGCATCTGGTTCTCAGTGTGTTACAAAATTACTTTAAACTACTGTTTATTTTATCAGTATGGCAAATTATTACATTCCCTTTCTCTGCAGTCTGCAAAAAGATCCAGAACAGAAACAACTGTAGATCAAACTTCAGATTTTTGAATTTCTGGGAAGTATGTAGAAAAACACAACTCTTATGGATTTATACAACTTTGCCAAGGAGACTGATTTTAAACAGACATTGATCAAACTAAATAACGGAGCAGTGCCGTGCTGTTTTCTGAAATCTACAAAGTTAAGAAGTTTCCCTCTTTTTAAGGTTCAGAGACAAATTCATCTTGCTTTGGAGGAATAGTGCTGAAAATCATGGGTGAACCAACCAGACCATGCACACGTTGGAGCGTTATTATCACATGATGGATGGTTGTTGTGGTAGGAGGAGGCTGTGGAGAAGGGGGTAGACACAATCAACTGACTGCACAATCATCTCCAGTATGAGATCCTGGTCTTCATTAAAGAAAACAATTATGGTGCCTGTGGTGTTCTCCTGTGCCATTTTGTTTTTGGCACTCATCAATCAAAGCGCCACTTCATATGCAAGGAGAGCCTCTCACCTCGCATAACAGAAGCAGCACTTATCTCACAACATTACGCTTTAAACATTTTGACAGATATAGATCTTTGGGTTTCTGCATCCATTTGGAAAATAGAAGCGCATCTCAATAATTGATATAATCAATGAGTTTATTTACTAAATAAAGAATACTGGCAGATGTGGGCGCCACATATTTTCCATATAAATACAGTGAAACCCATATTTACAAAGCTTCCCTGTAAAAAAATACAGTAAAATTCTCGCATAACCTAAGACACACTCCACAACAAAGTTAAGCCAATACGGGTCAATGCCTGGCTTTTCAGAGTACTGCTTCCAGGAATGGTTTTAAAACGTAAGTGGAAAGGAATAGAACAAGCTGCCAAAGCAACAGGAAATAGCAGATGGCTACAACTGACTTTGGACTTGATAAAACAGCACACCAATACAGTAGAAACTTAACTCTGGACCACAACCATCATGGTGGAGAGTGCCAATGACAGCTTGACAATTGTCAAATTAGCAGTTTGTCCCACAAATACGTACATTGTGACATGGCTACAACATAACATTTATGTATTAGTTCATTAATATTGTCTTCCCATTCAAAATAAAGTAAATAAAAGGCTTGAAGTATAGCTTGGTGTGTAATTAGCACTCAACTCAACAAGATAAACTTTTGAATGTTTTTTTTTTTTTTTTTTTTTAACAAGTTCTTGGGAAGCTTTTGCACAATAGCAGGCTAAATCTGATCCTGTAACTGCTCCCATCGACGAGAGGTTTACTGCTGCAGACGGCAGCACATTCAGGGCAGACGTCCGTCAAACCTGTGCTCATTTACACACTGCCATTACTCTCCAATATACAAACACTATTTAGACGGCTCACAGTCTAAGTCCTGTGAAGGTCAAGGAAGGGTCTGACACCATGATTCATATGCCACAATTAAATGATTCTCTACACCTTAATTAACATTGATTGGCTGCTGACTAATCAATCGGAGCGGTGAGGGACAGGCAAAAAAGGGACCCATCTCATTTCAGGCCTGAGCCGGTAATGAGATATGGTCCGCCGACTTCCTCCCATGTGAGCTATATGGGTTCATGAACCTGACCAGTCATCCGTCTTCCTCGCTCAGTCACAGCGGTCAGCTGTTGGTAAGCCACAATTCCTACCTACCAAGAGCTAATGCAAAGGCAGTAAATGACAATCAAATAAATAAGGGGTCAAGCCGATGAAACCGAGAGACAATTACCAAGGCAGGCTTGTGGTCTCCCCGTTCTCTTCCTGCCTGAAATGTATCCATCAGTCTATTTGGAGGTGGCTGGCTTATAATAAGCAGGTAAATGCAAGCTAAATGTGGATGTCTTCACTGTGGATTGAAGTGATGGAACCAGCAAAAGTTTTAAATGGAGACATAAACCATCCGATGAAGCAAACTGAGACACACACACACATAATACACCAATTATTTTTTTTTGTCTGACATCATTAAGTGCCCGTTGACTCATTTAGCTGCACATTCACATTTAACGGGCCAACATGAACACAGTTTTGCTAATCCATACCCTTTGAGGTAAAGGCTATGAACAAATCTGGACTTTTAATCACACGCCTTTTCAATTTAACATCCTCCTGGGGGATTAAACATCGAAATGTTTATTTAACATGGATTTCAAACTTAATCTGAGCCTATCTTGCCCCACTTAAAAAAGAAAAAACAATCCATGTTCATTTTTACCACTGCATGCACAAAAACAAGCAGCCGCAGATGCTCTCTGATTAAATATTGTCTGAGCAAATTTCCAAAGGGGCATAAAAGGCTGGAGAAAGAATGATGGAGTTGTTGTTTATTTTTCAGGGTCAATTTCGTGAATTTCTGTCACATATTTGCACAGTGGTCAGGATTTTAATGTGGAAACTGCAGAAACTGTAGGATGAAAAGGAATCAGTAAAAAGCAGGACAGATCCCTCCTTTCATGTTTCCACTAAGGATTTTAACTGCCAAGTGAATTTCTCAACCAAAATACAGATTTTTTTGTCCAAAATACTATTGTTTAATTATTTATAGATGGATGGATAGATGGAACATAAATAGTATAAGCATTTTTTAGTGCCTTTCCAGATACTGGAAGCAGTTAAACTCCATTCTGTTGAAGCGGCATGGAGACCTAAACATATTAAGCATGAACCAATGGGGAAGTCAAAGGGAGAATATTCCATCCTGTTAGATGGAAGGCCACAGAACTGTCACCGAATCAAAACGTGGAGTTAAAGGATTGCAGCAGACACTTGGCTATTACAGACCCCTTTGAACTAACAAAGAGAAGGTGAAGCAGTTTAAGTCTGGGTTATATGCTGAAATATGTATTAAAATGCAGGTGCTCTGCAGCTGATGTAATATATCACAAGTAAAGAATGAAACACAAGTGGTATTAACTTGATGTAGCAGTTCTTTCTGTTCTTTGTCAGATAACAATGTCACCATAGGATTAACGCTTACAAATGGCCCATTGATACAATCACTGCCCACAAAGGGTTTGAAAAAAGACGGTGAAATATTAGATTTTCTTTTCCGACTGCCTTTTTTCCTCCCCTTTCCATGTTCCTTACAGCTGCTGTTTTATAACTGGCAGATTAGAAATCAGGGGGCCAGCTGATGAGAGAAGGTAAAGCACAAAGCACCAGAGCCTAATGTAAGCACAAACTGCAGCTGCTGCAATCACAGGCTGATCCCCACTCTGGCTGACTTCGAACCTCACTCCTCCTGGTTGCATTGAACCCAGACAAGACAATGATATCAAACATGAATTGGTGACCGTAACATCTCCAGCACAAAAAAACAAATTTATACCAAGAGCAAAAATTTTTATTCTTTCAAATCTGAAGACAGGGCATTTATTGCTGAATCAGATTCCATGATGCCAAAATGCTTTGAGGAATTTTCCCACAAAAGAAATGTAGCTTGAAGAGAGCCAAAAAAGCACAAAGAGCTGAAATTCTGCAACTGAACTATTAATGTACTGGATAAATCCCTTTCAGACTCCTTTTGAAACATTGACACCAACACTAGTCCACACCCTGTGAATCTCCTCCAAGCTCTCGAATGGATATTTCCTCACAATATTTATCATGCGACAGTTATTTCTATCTCTGATCTACCAAAGTTTTTCTTCCACTTAACCTTTTGGTATTATGTTTCACTGTTGGAGCAACATCACACAATGATGTCTTTTTTCACTATTTCTGAGGGTTATACATGGCTATAGAAAACCTGTTAGGTGTTAAAATTTCTGTTTTTATTGGTTATGTAACATATGTTTACACATTCTTATTCTATCTTCATGTGAGTCTATTTATTGTTATTGTCTGTCACCGTACTGTGGTTGCTTGTATTCTTCTATTCTAAACAAACAGCAAAATATTAGTGTCATAAGTCAAAAAGTAAACTTTTTTTTTCCTTTTACTTTTCTTTATAATAAGTTGCACCTGTTAAGGTTATTATCGGTAATGCAGTATTATCATTGAGAACAGCCTGTAAGAGCCAACTCATTTCATTCAGGCAGAATTTTCACACCTGGCATTAGCTCCCATGTCAAGAAAACAAACAATGCTCAATGTGCTGAAATAACACTCTGTGTGCCAAGAAACAGCTCATGTTTGAACTGTGCGTTTCATGCGTTTGGATTAATGTTTGATTTCTTTGCCTGTGGACACACACTTGAGAGTTTGTGTTTGTAAGAAATGTGGGAAAGGAGGGGAGGGAAAAAAGTGACAAAAGGGTCAATATTCCTGACACAATACGCTCCAGTGATGGTCTTCAACACTCACGGTAGAATTGACTACCTCATCTCATTAG